GAGGACAGGATTTGGGGGAGTACAGGCTCGTTCAGGAGCTACAGCTCCATGGTGACTGCTTTCGGGTCTACTTCAGGCTCTTCTCTGCTATTGGAGGCGTGGCGCCGAGGTGTCGTCACAGCGCATTGCGGTGAAATTAAAAAAATTTCAATTCGAGCGCAGGCTGGCGGTGTGCACCGCTCAGCTTGGCGGTAGAGCAGTGTGCTCTTGCGCCGCGGTAGCACATATACAATGAATGGGTTCGTCGGCGGAGGTCTGCGCTTTGCGCGCTCTGCTTTATTTCCACCCTGCCCAGCAGCAGTACCGTGGCGAACAGTGCCTAAAGCGGTCTTCACATGATAAGAACAACGCGCTTCACTCACTGCCAGGTGCGGCGCAGCGGCACGGTCAAAGTTCAAATAATTTCAACTCTGAGCGCAGCGCTCGGGCGGTGCGTGACACCAAGGGTAGCGGCGCCGCCCTCTCCATAGACAAACAATGGGACAGCCAGCGCAAAGCAGTTTTACAGCTGATCATGTGTAGAGGCCTTTACACATGACTATGGAGAGGGCTATGGAGAGGGCAGCAACGCCTGACAAAGCAGCACCGCTACCCTTGGCATCGCACACGATATTCATTGTGCCGACAGTGGCTTGGAAAACCGCTCATAACCGTGTCACACGGGGAAGAGGAAAGAGGGAAGGTGGCTGGAGTTCCTCCAACATTTGCGGTTAGATTATCATATTTTTTTACTGACAAAAATATAGGCTGCTTCAGCTGATTTTTTTATGCGCACATGTGCCCCTAAATATTTTTTACAGTTCGCACACACCTATTTTTAGTCGCAAATGCGAGTGAAATGCTCGCACTGTTGAGCCATGGCAATCACTGTGTAAAAAATCAAATTAAGTTATAGACAGTATGGAGTAAACTGACTACATGTGTTGTTTGCCAAAAGTCCTTTATAGTAACCATACGTCTCTAGATTAGTCAGCTATAAGTCTAATGAGATGATCATTAGATGTGGTTTAATTAGAAATTTCAATGGTTAACCATTAATCCGTCAATCGGCAAGAAACTTTTTGACCCTATGTCGGTCTATAGCTTAATTTCCCCCCTTTTCAGTTTAGTAGCGGTGCCAAAACTATGTCAGTGTTTCCCCCACCTTTATATTTGGGTCTGTCTCTACATAGTCTGAGTGGGCGTAAGTTCGCTGCATAGATCAGCCTCTCATTGGAGGGAACGAGCCACCCACTGAAGTCCCGCCCTACCACCTCCGGTTGTGTAGCAGTTTTCAACCGTTTTCAACACGTCCTTTACTAACTTTTGCGGTGTTTGATCTTGCGGGGATGTAGCCATTTTTCTGCCATGGTTCGCGTCCTGTAGGCGATATTTTTGTGGGCGTGTTGCACCAAAACCTGTTTCTCCCCAGCAATATTTTTGCAAGCGCACCGTTGCTGTGGCACCGCCAAGAACGATTGTGATTGGTTGAAAGAAATACAAGCAGCCGGGGCGTTTTTTTCTCCAATCTCAAAGTGAGAGTCGGCCCAGCCAGAGCTTTCTTTTCTTGAGAAAGGTCTGGTGAGCGAGACTAGTCTCTATATGGTTGCGCATTTACAATTCTCCTCTGACCATCAAAAGACGGCTGTTAGGCACAGTCAAACACGGTGCTGGCACAGCAGCGCAGCACGGCACTGTACACACTCAATTGGAGCGGGGCCTGTGTTGCATTCAGGCGTTGTCATGTAAAAAAACAAATTCCAGCACTTGACTAGGCCATAGCACAACACAGCAGCATGTCAAGTGGGCCGAACCCGAACTTAGCCCAAGCAAAACTTTTATTTTGTTATTCCCCACTAACCAGTTAGTTACCAATTAATGAGTGTTGGGCTACGGAAAGCGAAGTGAACCAAAACTGACATCCCAAGGTTGAATCCCTGTGATATCACCTGCTGCACGTGGCTTGGCCATCTTCCTCAGCTTCCTGGTTCCTCCTCTGCAGCAGGGTGGCAAAGCGGTTGCGTGGTCGGGGTGGAGTGGTTAATGTTGGTTTGTCTGGATGCTGGTCTGACCTGGATCGCTTCTGACTGGATGACGAGTATTGCTGCAGCACATCCTCGTCGGATACATTGGAGTCTAAGGGAGAAAAACACAAGCACAGTTCAGATGAAAAAACGGGCTATACACTGCTGCTTTTAATTTTCTTTTTTACATCATTGTCTACATTCTGCTTTTTTTATATCATCCTACCTAATACATTGTTAGATAGCATATATTATAGCCGATAGCAGATAATTTAATTTCATAAAAGGAGGACTGGGTTTGGTAATCCTCTAACGAGCAAAAAATTTAACAAACTTTATCAAACTTAAGCTATAAATGTCAATGAACTTCACATTGACTATAAGGGGTTAAAAGGAGACAATAGTATTCCTTAAGTATTTTTTTCCATTTCAGTTATTTTAACATTTCTATTCTTTGCTTGTTTATTTTTGCAAATTTATCTATGTCTCTCAAAATTCAATAGCTTTATTGGCATCAAAGTTTAAAAGAAACGATTTGGCCAAAGAACAGTTGTGACGACCTTGTTCAGTCTGCCTGCGCGTGTCTGACTGTGCTCTCTCTCTCTTGCAGTTACTGGGAGTTGGCTGGTGGGCGGAGCTGGGAGAGAGTGCCTGCTAGTACCTGCCCTTTTGGGTTGGACCTGTACAGGGCATAAAGGACCACCCTTTTGGTCACACACTCTCTCCCAGCTGGGCCTGCTGCAGCCTCTTCAGCCTGTTTCCTTTATTTGGTATACTGCACCTTACAACACACATTACTCCATGTCTCACTCATCCACAGACGCCTAACATGACTGACACACTTCCTACTTGCACATGCCATCAGTTATTTGTGCTTATTTGTCTGAGTTAAATAAATTAACTTTTGATTGATATATCTGTGTGTGGCCTCCCTTTTGTTGCCGGCCTTGAGCCACTCGGTAACACAGTACAAAGTGGAAATTGATCAAATATTAGGACAATACACAAAAATAGTGTTATTAGCAATAACACAACATAGATAAAATATAGTATGTAAACTTGTCCAAATGGCTTATGTCTGGTGGAGGATGAAGGTGTACAGTGCAGCTTTTTTTTCCTTTTTTTTGTGGCACAAAACCAACCCCTAAAATACATTCAACATATCATCCATAGTGCAAGAGAGAGTGAGAGTATGTGTGTGAGTGTGTGTCAAGATGCTACTTGGGATATTTTTGTTTTTCAGTTCAGTGATTTCAGTGTTTTAATTCTTTGTTCCTCAGTTTGTGTCATACATTTACATAATGTGCAGCTAAGTATTCTTTCTCTCCCCCTCCTGGAGACCAAAGGCATGTTCTGTAAAAAAGAAACAATACATTAAGATTAAGATTAAGATTAAGAAGCTTTATTGTCATTGCAAGGGGGTACAATGAAATTCCGTCTGGCAACATCTCCTTGTAGCAGCACTATGTCCTAGTCATAAAATATAATGTAATATAAACAGTGAAATAGTAAAAATAAGGTGCAGTTTAGAATATTTACAACAGATACAGACTGTAATAGTCAGTTTCAAGAGTGCAAGACAGTCAGTAGTCCAGGTAGTAGTGGGGGTGTATGTGTGCTTCTGAGGGGGCGGGGGGTGTTGCATGATTTCATTTTATTAAATTATTGGCAAAAAGATACCAACAACCTGCAGTCAAAAATCCATTCATATCCTGTGCCAATGAGCAACTCTAAATCTATGGATGTTCAAAAACCTTGTCAGTAAACTATTCCACAGCCTTACTTGAAATGATCATCGGCTGTCATCAACTTGTGACTTTTTAGTGCAGTAGAGGATTCGTTTACAGAGAGAGTAAAATGAATGTATTTGTGTTAAAACATACAGCAATCTAAACATTGCTTGTTAACAGCTCACCTTCTCGCAGTCTTTTCACCTGCAGTTCTCTGCAGGACAGCCTCAGACCATCCAGGCTGGTGATTCTCTCCTTCCCCCTGGTAGAGGCAGGCCTGTTTGGGGAGGCAGCAGGTGCTGGCTTTAAGCCTCCACTCCAGATACTGTGCCCAGTGGGGGCTGGTGAATCATTCCAGCTGCGACTACTGGGTTTAGAAAGCTAAAAGGACATTTGGAAAGTTGTTCTAAATAAAATGTGACACATAATTTGGATCATCAGATCTCCTTTAACTGACTATGATTTGATACCTGTGGAATGGGTTTGTCTGGGTTGAAGACGTCTATCTTCTCCATGGTGTTGATGTCAAGGTTTCCTAAGGCCATCTGCAAGCCCTGTTCATCTCCTAGATTGCTGGATTCAACATCATCAAGGACAGAACACTGTGCAAGTTATGAAGAACTTACAATTTCCCATTTCTAAATTAAATTTAACCAAGGATGACACTAAATAATTTCCATTAATTACTAAAGAGACATCATGTCCGGTGTGATCCAGGACAGGGGGATACAGTCCAGCGTAGCTGAGGGTGGCCGGGTCAATGTGCTCTGGGTACGGGTTGAGGGGTACAACCTTCCTCCTGACTGGGTCAAACACCAGCTGGTAGAGGAAGGTGTTATTGGCTCTGATGAATCCCGCGATGTACTGTTCAGGGACCACTAGATTCATCTTCAGGTACTGGCCCATCTTTCTGATCACCTGACAGAGCAACCAGAGCTCACAATAAACAGCCTGCCACTGGAGCACTGCTACAAGGTTTTACTAACTACTTTTTGTGATAAGGTTGGAATTAGTGCAACTCCTGATTTAAAACTTATAGACTCACTTTCTGTATATCAATTTGCTGAATATTTTATCAAAAAAATACCAGTAATTGTGTAGAGAACTTCATTACCACCTAACTTTATTAAAAATTGATTGATTTTAATTGTTTTTCTACAGTATTGTTACACTTAAAGCCTTTTCTGTATTTTCCAAAATGAGGACCTTTATATTGTGAAATATTTACTGTGTGATTGGAATGGTCCTTTAATATTCAATATTTGTTAAGTCAATTGAATTCCACTGTACCGTTCTTTTTTGTTGGACTTATGCAATTCATTTAGATTCAATGTTTCTGTTCATAACTGGGTTTGAAAGTGACAGATTTGTACTAAAACATTTTATTAAATGTTACATTGTTTCTCAAATTTCATATCTCTATACTGAACACTTAATATTTTAAGTGCACAATTGCGCTAAGTGCGTTCACACTGCATAGTACAAGAAAATTGAGTGTACTACTGGCGCACTCAGAATGGTCCAAAAGTTGAGTGTGGAATGATGAACGCTTCACTTTCTCAATGGTTGCCATCTTTGTGACATAGTGGAAGCTACTTAACAAACTTTTGACATGGGGGCAAGGAGCCTTAGCTGGCTACAGTGAACACCTCTGCCTTATATGGATGTAAGTTATACGTGTTTTTTGCACTAAGTACCAATACTGTTGTCGAAAAGAAGCCATCAGTAATGTTTGTTGGGTCTGTAATGATTTGGTACCATGAACAATAATGCAAGTGCTAATGTTAGCTTACTACCTTACATTAGCATTCGTTAGCTAGCTAATTTGCTCATAGCTATGGCAGCACATTTTAATCAGCATGTTGTGGCGTAAATTTGGTTTTTGAGTAGGCAGAGATGGTGGTCAATTTTTGGCGATAATCCTCCACTAGGGCTGGGCGATAGAGCCAAAAATTCATATCTCTGTATTTACAGGCTGACTGGCGATACACGATATCCATCTCTGTATTTTCTATGAAATGGGCTACATGTTTTCAGTTGCAAGTCAAAGCCACATTTGAGATGTCACAAGCACTTTTATAAAAACAGACTGATGAAAATAAAATGCAAAAACAGGGAGTTTTCCTGTTTAACTTAACTTTAACTTTTTGTACACAGCACTGGGGCTACAGAAGTTTAAAGGTTTGCAGCATAGGACATAAAACTATAACATGAGTATAAAAGTATCAAGTAGGCATAAATCCATTGTAGTTTGGAACAATTAAAAATTTTTGTGGGGGAGTTAAATGTCAAATGAATATAGTGCTGGAAAGTGATTTAAATATTTTATTTATTTAGGCCATTAATCTTATTTATGCACATAGCATCAACAGAGAGGCTGAGGGAGGGAAGGAGCGAGAGACACTTTGTCTATGTTATACATGTCTTGTATATAAAATGGCTTTTTTTAAATTTTTTTATAAACAGATCTGTTTCCTGTACGTGTAACATATAGACGGATGTTGCACCGTAGACAAATTAACAGACAGACTAAACAGAGTAGCAGCTCTTTCTCTCTTTGTGTTTCTAGAGAACTGTACCAACGGAAGTATGCGATTTGGGACGCACAGTCTATGGCATGTGGGCTGAACAGTGGCCACAAGTGACAATTATGGTACAGTGGTTCATATTAGGATATGCTGCAACAGCACAAGTAGAGAAGAGTCATAAATCTGACTGAATAATCTTAACTTAAGGTATACTTACAAGCTTGTTCTGGCTCAATTCAGTCACGACTGATAACAGAGCTATCTCCATGAAAACTAAGAATTTGGGATGTAATTCAAAGCTTTGGAACAAGTTAGTCAATGGACCTTAAGTCAAGATCATGGTGTCAAACTACTATTTCCAAGGTCGAGTATGAAGCCTCACGCTCAAAAGTCACAACTGACTTATTGACGTCTGAAGAATAACTACTTGAAGATTGCCAACATTATACCAGAAGAAGGTGGTACCTGAGTGAAATAAATAAAGCAAGTCTACTTTATTATCTCTGCCAGGCATAAGCCTGGAGGAGATCATGTGTTTAGGCATGTGTGTGCATGTGTGAGTGTTTGTATCTGTCTGTCTATAGCAACACTGAACAAAAAATTAAGCACACTCGTTTCTGGTCCCATTTCTTACAGGTTTAAGTTAAAGTTCTAAGACATTTTTATGCACACCGTTTACTTAGATGACATGAGCAAGGAAGGAGACACAGCCAGCAGATGTCCATAACAGCGGAGCAGTTTATTTCTCAAACACAGGTATTTAAATTACCAGTGTGGGTCATTACGGGTATGTTTGTGGGGTTAACTAGGACACACACATCGTGGCCGTCCTACAAAAGGAAATAAGAAAAAGAGGACGGCAACATATTTAGCCTCTCATTAGCTAAACTGATTGCCCCTGAAAGAGGCATTCCTTTCCTGGCAGGGACGTTCAATTTATCCTACCTGCCTCAGGTGGGTCAGGTGATCTCAGGTATCTCTGTCTGGGGACTTTTGACACACTCAACAGATATAAATTTCTCTCAAATTCTGGCTGCAAATTTGTTAAAATCTGTGTTAGTGAGCACCTCTCCTTTTCCAAGATAATCCATCCACCTGACAGGTGTGACCTATGAAGGTGTTGATTAAACAGCATCATTACTACACAGCAGACATGGGGGAAAGTCACACATGTACAAGTAATAATAATAATAAATTTAATTTATAATAGGGATGTAACGATACCAGAAACTCACGATACAATATTATCACGATAAAGAGTCCACAACACGATATATATCACAATATTTATACAAGGGGGAAAAAAGAGAAAAGTTATTGTTAAAAATAGCTATTTTATTCAAAAATAGTGCATGTACACTGTACAGCATGTTATTTTTAACTTGGAAGCATATCATAAACAAATCAACACACAGTTGAACATGTGCTTTCATTTCCCCCCTATTACTGCTAGGCAGGCAGACATTAAAGTGCCATAACAAAGCCATGTCAATTAAAACTATAGTGACAGAATATGAAAATGGAAACATTCAGTATTTTTTAACCTACTCTGAACAAAAGCAGTGTAGTACTATTACTAGAAAGTCATCTGAATGACATCAAATTATGAGGATAGAGTAGTCTTAATATTCATCAAATGTACAGAACTTAGAACAATCAGACCCTGCAACAACAACAAAATTAACAAATTAGAAATAATGTAAACTCAATAACACACAATCCCTCACTCACAGATACACAGAGAGACAGAGAGAGAGGGAGAGGTGGGTAGAGATGTGTGTAAAAGGAAACCAAAATAAATAAAGCCCAGCCATTTCCCTGGAAATCATAGAAAAACTCAAAAACACACATTCACTCAGTTTGTTCACGCCAGGTTGACAATCTTGACATCAAGGAGACCCTAACACTTTCTCAGAACAGGAGATGAGGAGAGGAAAGCTCTGGTCCTGTGCTTTCATGTGAGATGCGTGGCATTTCTGTGCGACCCTGCATTCGCGAGTAATCCATCCAAAAGTAATGTTTGTGCAAAGCTGTATGAAAGCTTTGTTATACATTATTTTAGTGTAACTTTATACTTTTTTTTCGCTGTGAAAACATTGGACTACCTACAAGTGCTTGGTCTTGTCGGAAAGCTACAATTCCGCTGTTTCACGTGATATGCGTGGCTTCTCGCTATGACGGTCGCGGAGAAAATCCACAGAGAAGAATAATCAATCTCCTTACTTTTATTCGCTGTTTCCTCCGGTCATGCACGGGTCAGAGTTGGAGGCTGAGAGGCTGAGCTTCACGAGTCTGCTCTCACCTGCGCGCGCAGTTGCATGCAAAGGATTATGGGGATTGTAGTCGCACAGTCATATTACCGGCTCTGTAGGAGAATGCAGCTATATAACTACCGTGGCATTCCCACGACGGTATCGAGAATTTATTTTATCGCGACACCGCAAAATTCGACATATCGTTACATGCCTAATTTATAAAGCATTTTTCATTTATAAAAAAAAAATCTCAAAGTCTACAGCACAAAGTAAAAAGGTAGGTGCAAGCAGGTCTCAAGTCTTTGTGGCGGCAGTAGCTCAGTCCATAGGGACTTGGGTTGGGACCCGGAGGGTCGCCTGTTCAAGTCCCCGTCCGGACCAAAATATGGAGTGTGGACTGGTAGCTGGAGAGGTGCCAGTTCACCTCCTGGGCACTGCCAAGGTGCCCTTGAGCAAGGCACTGAAACCCAAATCGCTCAGAGCGCCTGTCATGGGCAGCCCTGCTCTGACATCTCTCCACTTAGTGCATGTATTGGTCCTGTTTGTGCATGTGTGTGCTCGGACCTGTGTGTAATTGCCAACAGAGTGAAAAAAAATGAATTTCCCCTCTGGGATTAATAAAGTATATAAAGAAATTTACCTTCAAGTCTCAAACAAGTCCCAAGTTAGTTGTGGTGAAAAGCAAGTCTCAAGCAAGTCAAGTCCCTGCTATAAGTCAAGCAAGTCAAGTCGAGTCATTGCTCAGGTCAAGCAAGCACATAGAGCAAACATCTCCTCACGATCCGCTAGCTACAGCTCTGAATATGCTGTGATAAAGTCCGGTCTCTGTAGGCAGCCCAGGCTCCGCAAATGGCAACAAAAACATTTGGGTCCAGGCTGTACCAACCAGCCAGCATGAGACCAGCAAAAGCAAGCACACACGTGAATGTGGTGCCCAGAGAGGCAGTTAGAGCTACAGGCTACAATGACAGGGCTCTACGCTAACCTTTTTCACTAGGAGGACATGTGCTCCTAACTGAAAAAATTTAGGAGCACAGAGAGAAATTTAGCAGCGCAGTGAAAATTTTAAATAACACATGTAATAGGAAAACAACAAAATACAAATGCTACTCTGGAGCCACCCTCTGGTCCATCAAGTGTGGTAAGGGCTCAGCACACACACACAGGGCTACATGGGGCTTACTGCTCTACTTTTAGACACAAAGGATATCTTTAGTCCACTGGCTTTTGTAGTTGGGTTGCCTGGCACGCTTAGCTGAGTTCATTGGATGAACTCAGCTAAATTTTACTAGTCACTTCGAAAAGCTAGCTCCGCTGTGTTTGATAACATTGTTCAACGTAAACAGAAGTGCAACCCAGCAGTGTTTAGTATGCCTTTAATATTGAATTAAAGCCAAGTCCTTTCGAGTCATCTGTCTCAAGTCAAAGTCAAGTCTCAAGTCATGAATACAAAGTCAAGTCGAGTCTTTTATCAACGTTAGTCAAGCAAGTCTCAAGTCATCATATTTGCGACTTGAGTCTGACCCCATCTCTGCTACACAGGTGTGACATGGGATTGTTAGAATAAAAGGACAATCTAAAATGCGCAGTTTAACCTTGATAAAAGACATTTATTAGGATTTTGCATGAGTAGCGCTACAAAAATGCATTTTTTGGTTACAGATACCCCAAAGAATCAGTTAGTATCTGGTGTGACACCATTTGTCTCCTGCAGTGCGACACACCTCCTTCACACAGAGTTGATTGTGGCCTGTGGAATGTTGGTCCACTCCTCTTCAGTGGCTGTGTGAAGTTGCTGAATGGCAGTGGATGAATGGCATGACAATGGATCTCAGACTATTGTCACAGTATCTCTGTGCATTCTGCCATCAATAAAATGCCCCTGTGTTTGCTGTTTGTAGCTTATGCTGGCCCATAGCATACCTCCACTGCCACCATGGGGCACTTTGTTCACAACATTGGAAATGACACAGTGCTATACAGTGTCTGCCATTTGCCGGTACAGTGTAAACCGGGATTCATTTGTGAAGAGAACCCCTCTCCAAAGTGCCAGACGCCATCGAAGGTGAGCAGCCCACGCAAGTCAGTTACGATGATTAACTGCTGTCAGGTCAATATCCTGGTGAGGATGATGAGCGTGCAGATGACCTTCCCTGAGACGGTTTCTGACAGTTTGTGCAGAAATTCTTCAGTTGTGCAAACCAATTGTTGTATCAGCTGTTCAGATGGCTGCTCTCAGGCGATGTTACAGGTGAGCATGCTGGATGTGGAGGTTCTGGGCTGGAGAAGTTATGCATCGCCTGTCGTTGTGAGGCTGGTGGATGTAATGCCAAATTCAAGGAAATGACGTCTTATAGTAGTGAAATGAACATTCAGTTCATTGGCAACAGCTCTGGTGGACATTCCTGTCAATGGCATGCTCCTTCAAAACTTGGGACATCTGTATCATAGTTTTGTGTGATCAAACTGCACATTTTAGAGTGTCCCTTTATTGTGACCATACTAGGACACACCTGTGAGGTAAAGATGCTGTTTTATCAGCATCTTGATATGCTTGATATCTTGGAAAAAACACAAGTGCTCACTAGCACGGATTTTAGCAAATTAGCAACCAAAACTGAGAGGAATATATCTATTGAGTGCACTGAAAAGTTTTAGCTCTTAAATTCAACCTGTGAAATTGGAAGCAAAAAAATGTTACATTTAAAATTGTGCTCAGTGTAATCTGGCACACTACTGGATCAATCGGCCTGATATTTTGTGTGGACATGTATGACTGTATGGTCAAGAATCTCTCGTGGTTGCTGTGATTCAAAATTGTTGAAAAATCTATTTGACTGTTTTATACCATAATTGTCTGCTGACTCCTCACTCCTTTTGGCAAAAGCACAACTTTTGGATTTACAAACAAAGCTTTTGGATTTGCATCAATATATTTTTAAAGCAGCTGTGCAGAACTTTTTACCATTTATAAAACTGTCCCTAGTTCCTATCACCCCCTCTTGAAGATCCGCATATTTATTTGAACCCAACAGCGACAAAAAAGCCTTTCTCTATATGGCTATTTAGCGTAGCCTCGGTCGGGTCAGACACAGCATAAGTCAGCAAACCAGAATACGGCACCCGGAGGTGGAAGTAAGTCTGCAAGCCCGCAGAGGTCCGCAGCCATTAAACCACAGAAGAAGAAGGAGCCGTGTTTACGAGTAGGATTTAAGAAACAGGTTAAATGACATGTAGTAGGGAGTAGTGAATGATTTCGGACACATTGCACACTCTTGTACAGTAGGTGGTGGTATGCACATTGAAGTTGTTTGCGATCCACCAATAAATTGAGAGAAGAAGAAGAGCCGTGTTTACAGAGAGTGTTCTTCGAGCAAGCAGTACCCAATGGGCATTGCTGAACACAACAGTTTTACCAGATGTATCTATAAGGACTTGGTTGTACTTTTGATGTCATGGCAGATAAAGAAGGAGCACCATCTAAAAGAAAAAGAACAGAAGAACAGAAGAAGGCTAAACAGGACAGTGACAGGGCTTGAGCCCAAACGTGTGTAAACCTCGGTCGGGCATTCACCAAGTGGAGAGAGCTGAGAGATTTGAAAGGTTTTAAAACTGATCCCGAGTTGGCCCTTTTCCTAATCGACAGGTATGTAATTTTTGTTTTTATTTAGAGAATATACCGCAACTTGTTAGACGTTGTTTCACTTCAATATATGATGACATGGAAGTTAAGCATAAGCATAAGAAATTCAGAGCTACACCAGTACATTTATGATTTTCCTGTCGCTCTCCAAAACAAATGCATGCGGTAATTGCCGGCTGCAGTCGAGATTTTACGAATGAAGCCGAAGGCTGCAGTCGGAATTTTATGACACCAGGCTGTGGGTGTCATACCGCTTCAACCAAAAGTGGCGCTATATTCAACGGAAACAGAAAGTTCCGCACAGCTGCTTTAATTATAAATTTCTTTCAAATTTTTTTGATTGTAGTGTTGGTATTGGTATTTCAAACCTAGTCTGTTTAATTAATAATTACCTAATAAAGACACAAAGTAACCTTAATGAGTCTCATTTAAAATCTGTTGGACCTCCTAGGAATGCTAATACCATTTTTTTTCCATAAGTTGCATTTTAAGACCTTGGAGTTTATTTTGTTTGTGTTCGTTTTCCAGGCTTTAGTCAGATGACTGAAAGATACTTTTCTCAGAAGCAGGTTTGTTCATCAGTTTTTCTTAAAAGCCAGGTACCTTTGGAATCAAAACTTCAAATCAATGCACAATCCAACTTCACTATCTCACCATCTGTACTCACCTTGAGGATATCAGGGTCTTTGGCCAATCGCAGCAGTTTGCATGCCTTGCCTAGGCCGATGCCATGTAGGGAGGCCAGATAGTCACATCCAGAGAGGATGCACATGTAGCGAAACTTCTCCTCTGTAAAAACGTTGCCCAGAGCACGACAGCGGCCCATGTTAGTTTGGTCTATCTCCAGTCCATTGCCCTGCTTGTCCATTTTAAGGATGACCTGCATGATTGTGAAAGATGATTGATTTAGAAGTTGGTGGCAAAATATGAGCAGTGGTAGCCATGAGGCCATTGCTTTTGTCTCATGTATGGTTTGCTGCAAACAGGATTAACACTTAAGCGTTTGATTTATTCAACTTCTACTAACACTTGTCTGATATAGTCTGTTGTTTCTCTGTTTCACAGGCATGCAAACTTGTTCTTCTTCCTGTAGCACGCAAAGTTTTAGTACCCTTCTCCGCCCATGCAGAAAGTCTGAATGATGACAACAGTGGATAGCATTCCTTGTCCATACAACCATCAGGGCCCAGTTCTTTAAATGTACCAAGCAGCTCTCAGGCTAAGCTAAAGCAATCTGATGATTAATTTGTAAATCCCGATTTAAATTATGTCGGATTATTCATATTGGCTGAGAGCTGATCATGTGTTTGTGGTTACATCTAGTAGGTGTGTTGAGAACCTACTACTACTACTACTCCCCAGACAGAGTGCTGAGTGGAGTGAATATATGATTAACTCGACTGTTTGTTAATTCATGTAGAAATATAACGCTCCCTTGCTCTGAACAACAAGGCTCTCATTTTAGTATGGAGCATCAGACTGAATTTGCGAATGCACCATGTCAGGTCACTCACCCTCCAGGACCATGAGTGTTACTTTGATAAGTATATACTGACCAGACCAGACTGGCCGACCTGTATGCTCTCACTCAGTGGATGGATGATTTGACAGGATTGCTGAAGGTTGGATGGCCGGCTTTGTGGTTGATTACTATCCCAATCTTACAAAGAAAGACGACATGAATGGTTTCCTTCAGTTTGTTTTGCCATTGAAGCTAACGCACTAAAAAGTACGCATAATGGAGAAATCCAATATTCCTCTTAATACATCACCAATTTCTGAGGAGGTGGACATGATAACCCTTAATACACATAACATTAGTCATCCCTACAACAGTAAATACTTTTTTCCTAACCTGATATGAAGTGTGCCCTGCACATGCGAGCATTTTTGATGATCGCCTCCTTCCAGTCCTTTCGTCTTATTGCATTCAATTAATTCAAAAAGTTTTGAGCCATGACTCCCTCTACTCTAGCACCCAATAACAACAATAACAAGGTGACATTTTGTAGCCTACAGCCCTGTGGGGGAAAGTCATGTTTTGCCTCCAGCTAACAAACTGTTGTCATTTTGACGTCTGCCCTAAAAGGGTCTAAAGCCCAATATCACAAATCACAGCTGAGGGGCTGCTTTTTTAAAAAAAATGAATTTTATATACTTTCTTAAAATTAATTTTTTTCTCTCCGTTGTCATTAACACACAGGTCCGAAATACACACACATGCACAAACAGGACCTATATATGCACAAAGTGGAGAGATGTCAAAGTGGAGAGACATAATAATAATTAACATAATAACATAATATAATAATTACAGATCATGATGATATAAAATTACCTGCATTTTTTTTTATCATTTCCAAATCAATATTATATCAACACTCTTCTATTATAAGTCTGCAAAAGCGAGTCATTTGTAATTGAAAATTACTTCATGTATGTGGTTCTCAGTAAACTGTCTGGGTCATGACCCAGCTAATCGTCAATAACTAATAATAAACGCCTCCCTTGGATCTCGATACCTTTTTGCAGCCAAATGCCAGCAGGTCAGAGTCTTCTGTGATGACAGCCTGGGCCAAACCACATTTAGTGAGGTAAGCTAACTGAGCATCAGCTTCATATGGGGCCACAACACAGTCCACTCCTCTTGCTCGTGCAGCCTGGTTAAAAACAAACCCAAAAAAATGAGAGAGAAAAAGAAAAAATGTCCTACATAAATTCATCAACATGCAACATTGATGAGTGTAACCACAAAGAATTAAAAAAAAAAAGTAACAGAGAAACAAAGAAAGCAAAGCATGTATCTGTAGGGTTCAACTGGACAAATTACATTTTCATAACCTTTCGTGGCCGAACCTGATGTTTTAAATCATTAGTGAATGATTAATATTGTATAAACACAATTCTAAAAACACACTGTTCAAGACATAAATAATGCTAATAACTAAGGGTGCACGATATTGGATTTATCCGATATACCAACAAATAACAACTCATTTGGCCGATAACTGATACTAGGGCTGGGCGGTATATCGATTTTTTACATTGTAACGATATATTTTCAAGCAAGATACAGATTTAGACAGTACCATTTGTTTTGTACTGTTTGATATAGGGTCAAGTTGCATTACATAACACATACCAGTGTTCATCTCTCCTGTCTCACACTCTCTGCACAGCTCCACCCCACTCACTCACTCACAGTTTCTCCATCAATACTCAGAGAGACAGAGCTGCTCCATCAGTCTGTGAGATGAATGAAGTTACCGCAGTAGCACATGTACACTACTGTGGGCCTTTTCCTCTGTAACTTAAGCCACGTCCATTCAAGCCATGTTGTGCAGACTTAGGTTTCAGTTATCAGTTTACACACGTGGTGCGACGCCGAGCTGCGAACCTACTCCTCCTCCAGAGTAGCCGGGCCGCCTGCACTCAAGCTGTGACGTCTTGCCCACCGCAGCCAACATCCGACCGGACTGTTTCTCCCCTTTAAAACAAGCCATGTGTGTTGTGAGACTCTCCTCACCACTGTCAGCAGGAGACGAGAGAGAAATGTGTTTTTAAAAGTCTGTGTGTGTTCAGCTCTCAGTGCTTTTGTAGCTTCTAACTGAATCTCTGTGGTTTGGAGTTTAGTTTCTCTCCTGCGTCTTGTTTTTACTTTACATATCTGATTTATTTTACTGTTTATGTCGGCCAACCACCGTATTAGAAGTTGTGTGAAGTTGCTGCTCGAAAATTCAACTTTTCCTTATTTTGCTGGTTCATAATAAGTTTTTATATGACAAAAATAACAGAGGACTTTTATTTTAAAGACTCTAGAGGAATTAAAATATGTTTATTACCGACTTATCAAAACTTTATTTGTGGCTTCTCTTCAATTAAGACAAGTCTAATAATACCGCAGGGAGGAAGAGTAAAAGCAGAAACAGCCACAATGAGATGTTGATGAAGAGCTGCAGCCAACAGGCTCTTACTGCACCTCTGCAAACAGCTCACCTCCAACAGGTAAACTTCTTTTACATGCCCTGCTATAGAAAAACACATGCAGCAAAAAGAACAGGGGACTTCAGCCATGGATCAATTTGCAACTGAACATGTAGCCCACTTAGTACAAAATACCGGGGGAGATAACTGATACCATTGTCATATTGTTGTCATATATCTGTGTTGTATGGAAAATGATGCAACTTTCTTTCCTGAATCCTCTGACTGAATATACCTCTTTACCTGTATGCTTGTACTCTAGTTTATCTTTATTTCTTTGTATTTTCGTTTATGTAGGCCTACATATATAATACCCTGGTTTAAGACCATGTATTTGTGTTTGCATTGTGTAGTAGTATTATGTCATCATCTGATTTATATGCATCTATAAAGAACATTTCCTTTAAAATTCGAAAAGCCCTAAGGAAAATAAGAATTCACAGCCTTTTGTTTTCTAAGGGTGTTTTACTTCATGGGGTTTGTAAGAAAATGTAAAACAGAGTTTACTTAGTAGAGTTCAACTTGAATGGGAGGTAATTTGCTTGTTAAACTGTCAGCCCATGACGGGGACAAAGAAGAAGAAACGGGTCAGAACTGGCAACCCTGGAGAGACAGTAGTATGGAGCAGAGCAGCCAACAGTTAGGAGGAAAAAGTACTCAACAGTGAGCCAACAAGAACTGACTGCAAGCATGGGAGCATGCACAGTGGGGGCTTTTGTTTATTGACTGTGAATGACTGGAAAAAAAAAAAAAAACACAAAAAAAAAAACATAACTGCTGTGCCACAAGAACTGTGTAGACAGTTTAGCCCGCCCAGCCTGGACTTTCACTTGCTAGCTGTTAGCTTGCTTAGCAGTTGAGTTTATGTTGGTCCGTGGATCAAGAGAGGACAACGCTACATCAGAAGACACACAGCATTGCAGGAGTCATCCTTGGACATTGTGGGGTTTTTTGGCATCAGCCTTTGGATTTAAAACTGCTTTCTGTGAAGGACCCTGTTGGGCAGCGGCCTCTGGATTTACTGCAGTCAGGACAGTGCTGTGTCGTAAGTTACTCGACTCTGAACGCACGGATTCACTCCTCTGTGAACGTCTATGCAGTATGTACACTGGTGCTCAGACCAATGGGAACACATCTGTGGGCCCAATTGTTTTATAGTTCAATATGTATTAATACACTGAAATGACAAACTAATTTGGGTCTCTGATTACTTTATGGTGGTTGTGAATATTACCTTCACAGAGTGGTATCAGCTTTTCATACAATACTGTCAGTCCTTTTGCACCAGAAAGTTAGTATCATAAGCACTGAAGACATGTTATCTTTGGTTGACGGTCCTTTCATTTTTATTTGCAAGCATGCCAGATTTATATGTTCTGCTTTGTTACTCTAGTGGTAATTAATGCAGTATGAGCCAAATGTGAAAGGGTTACTCCTCTGTTTATGTGTTTTAATTTTTGTCATTTATATTCTTCATACATTCATGTATCACACCTTTATATCTTTCAGATATGTCGTTATGTTACCAGTGATGTGCCAATATTATTGTGCATCCCTAAAAGGAATTCATAAATTACTTTGGCCTTCCAGAAGATATAAGTTCTCACCTTAATAAGATTATGAGCCATGGTTGGGGTGATGTTTACACAGCGAGAAAAACAGTCTCTGGCCTCGGACACTTTGCCTTCACGTAGTAGCTGTCGGCCTCTCTGAAGGTTGACTTCTCTGCGACTGAAAGATGCGTGAATGAAACAGAATGGCACTCAGAGTGAAATCTTAAATCAGATATTAAAACAAAATGAGAACTACAGAAAGATAATTTGTTCTAAAACTAAAAGTTATGTTTATATATAAACCTACAAAAAGACAGCTGTCTAGAGATAATGATGCTATGGCACCACTGTGTAGGAGCAAAGAGAAAAGTAGACCAAACACAGACACAGCCCAGCTTCCTTGTTAAGGATAACGACAAGGTTTTGGATGTCTTTTTGTCTGTAACATTAAGTACACTGCTCAAAAAAATAAAGGGAACACTTAAACAACACAATGTAACTCCAAGTCAATCACACTTCTGTGAAATCAAACTGTCCACTTAAGAAGCAACACTGATTGACAATCAATTTCACATGCTGTTGTGCAAATGGAATAGACAACAGGTGGAAATTATAGGCAATTAGCAAGACACCCCCAATAAAGGAGTGGTTCTGCAGGTGGTGACCACAGACCACTTCTCAGTTCCTATGCTTTCTGGCTGATGTTTTGGTCACTTTTGAATGCTGGCGGTGCTTTCA